TCTGCCATTTCAATAGTGCAATCAGTGCATTCTGGAATTCAAGAGAAACCAGAAGTTCTTTGAGATTGTTCCGAAACTCACAGTGTTCCTGATAGATGCACAGTTTCAGAGAAGACTCTTCTAGTTGTTCTTCAACAATGTCACTGAGACGCATGGGACGCAGGTTTTCAGGTAGGTAGCACAGAAGGTTCCACTGCTTATACTTGTCCGCTGATATGGAACATTCAGAGAGATCGACCAGAAAGTGAAATTTTTTTATCAAAGCAGGGGGTTCTTGGCCAGATTGGTAGAAACTAAATACTAAAGTGTTTGATGGATATAGCTTCCCATCAATGCAAGGGAGATAAAGTTCTTGCAGCTTTGAGAAATCCATTGGCTCCTTTGCTTCTTCTAGGAGCTGGAAGAAAAACTGAGTAGCCCTGAGCACTGCTTTAGTAAGATTGGGTTGCAGTTTCATCCGATCCATAGTCTCTTCTTGGATCCTGGCCAGAACACTGGCATAATGATAGATGGTTGCCTCAGTTTGCACTCCAAACTTCTCAAAGATATCTATAAATGCCCCTAACTTGGATGGCAGCTGGTAGAGGTATGGCCGGAAGTCACTTGAGTGCTGCAAGTGGACCACCACATTTTCTGCCTCAGTTACTTCATTATCATCTGTCAGTATCACAGGAAGTCCTCTAAGGGAGCTCACATCTATTTCTTCCTGTTCTGAGAGGAATCTGTACATGTCTTTTAGAACTTCTGCCCAAGTTTCCTTATTTTCTAGGGTATCACAGGTTACTTGGCATACACTGCTCAAATTTTTCAACACCACTTCAGTAGGTAATGTGAATATCACTCCAAGTTTTTGGAAAAAAGCCCTCTTTTCTTTCCCTATATAGACATTAGAAGAGAAACTAACTGCTGAAGTCCAAAATAATTCAACACTTTCTGAGCAGCACAAAGAACCTTTAGGTGCCACTGGAGATTTGCAAGGAGCGTATGGCAAATGAAGGCTACACAGTTTATCAAGGATGACACGTGGTACAAGGAAACGGATCTTGGACAATTTTTCCAGGAAGGAATTAGACAGATCATCTTTTGCTCTGGAAAGCAGGTATTTCAAGAGTGTGTTACTTTTTTCTCGGACATTTTCAGAAGTAGCACCGCTGCTGAATGCCTCTTGTTCAACCTGGGCAGCACATTTTAAACAATCTTCCTCAGAAATCACCTCCTGCAAGCCCAGGTCCAATAAAAATGGGTACACTTCCCACTTTTTGATTGGAAGCATTGAATCATAGAATTTACATGGTACAAATCTAGAGCCGAATCCCAACTCTTGAAAAATATCATTATCCTGATAGAAGTATGATACAAGACGCAGCACATTCTCCTCATCCCGAATGAAGGCAAAAGACTTGAATGTTGACACCACAGCTGCTTTCTGAGTCTCGTACTCTTCATCATACTGGGATTTGATTCTGAACAGCAATTTCAAGGCTTCCAGTACTTGGGCCTCAGGAAGACTGGGTACCCTAGGCAAAAGCAGCATAAACTGTTGCAAATCATTTATTTCTCCAATACCTAAGGGCTTGCTTACGGTTTTATTCAAATCGGTGTCCTTTAGTAAAACAGTCCTTGCATCCATTTCATAAAATTCCATAAAGTTCTCACAGAGCTTTGGATTTTTGGATACCAGGCGATACACTTTTTCATATGAAACTAATGGTACATATTTTCCTTGAAATGTCTCAAATACAGGCAAAGCTTTCAGTTTTCCTAATAATCCTGGATTTAGCTTTTTTAGATCCTTACAGAGAAACACTAAGAGCAAATCATAATCCAATGGCTTGAGTTTATTCCAGTGTAAGCTGCTGTGGGTAGACAGTTGCTCTAGTACTACTATAGGGTCTTCGATCTTCAGCAGCTGTGGATTGATGCAGTATGCAGTTAACTCTACGGGCAGCAGGGATTTATCAATTTTGGCAAAGCCCAGCTTATCAAGAATTTTACAAACTGAGCTTAAGTTATCAGGCATCAATATATCAAGGGATTCAAGAGGAATCAACTCACTGGAACCACAGACAGGGAGTAGATTGCATCCTCTGAAGAGGAAAATGAACTCTGCAAATAACTGGTTCAGTTTTTTCTCATCCCGTGACACACAGATTTGTTTTCCAAAGAACTCCCACAGTTCCCCTAACCAGCTCCTCTGGCGTTTGCTATCCTTGCTCCAGCTATCCAGTGCCAGCATCTCCTGGACGTAAGCCACAGATTCATCTAGAGTAAAATCCTTCAGGAACCCCATTTTTAATAGAAGCTTATTTAGATTGTAATTTACAAAGGCAGAAAAACAGTGTTGATGATGCGGGAAAAGCTCAGAAGCACTGGTGTTCTGATAAACAGGTTCTTGTTGGCTGAAACATCTCAGCACATTATCGTTGGTCACCAGTAATGGAAGTCCTTCCACGCAACTCACATCATCGGAACACAATCCACTTAAACAAAAGGTTAGGAGAGCAAAGCAACTGTAATAATTCTTTAGAGGGGTTTGATTTAGGGAGCATGGTAAGAAGGTGAGCAGTCTTTTCAAAAAACGACACAGGGAAGGAGAATTGAGAGTCACCACATCAATTTCTGCCACGACAAACTGCTTATGTATCTCTTGTAGCTGTCCAAAGGCAGGGACCAAGCTCATACCCAGCTCCTGAAGAGTGCGCTCAAGAATTGTATCCTCTATTGTATTCTCCAGGAAATAGAGGCCTTTGGTGGAATCCTCTTCTTTGGGTGCACTCCAACACACACTTATGGTTTCAATTGTCTGTCCATTTTTGTTATTAACATTTTTTTGATAGACTGGCAACAATGGAAGCTGGTCTTTATGCATCAGTTTATACAGATGGGTCACTAGCTGCTGCCAAACAGGAGGTACATCCTTGGTCACAATTGGGAAATATTGCAAATACTTACAAGCAAGACGATCGTGACACGCCTTCAGTGTGTGGAATTTCAATGGCTCACTTCCCAGTCCCTGGCACAGGTTTCTAAGTAACTGGCCATACAAAGGGGCCAGCAGAAACTGCATGAGTAACCTATTCCAGGTTGAACTGACACCCCCTTCATTGCAGTCCTTCCGCAGGTCACGCCGAGCTGAATCAACAGCAAAGTTCCCATTGACATGGATGGGAAGGCCTGTCCTTCCTGGCAGAGGCAATGTGCAGAAAGCCCTCCCACATGCTTGTCTATTAAGACAAGCCGCCACACCGCCATAAGGCAGTAGCATGCCCTCTATGGTCTCTGTGCTGTCCATTCCAATCTGCCTTCCAACCCACCAGATACTGGGATCACACAAGAGATTAGTGCTGATCTTAATTTTGTAGAAGACGGCGACTGGTTTGCTCGTCTCCAGGCCTCCTGCTCCAGCTGCCTGTTGCAGGTGTTCCTGGTACTCCAGCCTTCCAGGCTCCCCTCCTTCAGTTACAACCCGCAACAACTCTTTGGGTCTCCTGTCTTCCTCGCCCATAACAGAGAAAATTACAGTGCGAATGTGATTGAGGAACATCATGAGGCACTCTGCATCTTCTTTAAGAGCCTCCAGCATGTTCTCCATATCTGTTTCAGACACCGAATTCTGGCAAATACGAGAGGAGGCTGCCCCTGCAGGAGTACGCAGGGGCAACCGGAAAAGTGTGCCCTGCTCCAACTCAAACACATCAGGCAAAAAAGTTTCATAAACATCCAAAAAGGCTTTTCTGAAATCTTTTGTGAGGTTGTACATTGCACCAGCTGAGACCTCATCAGATTCTGTGAGGTAACGCAATGTGGGGTCAAAGACACATAGTATTCTATCCCCTGTGACAAACGCAGGGCAATCTGTCAAATGGAAAACAGTGTTGAATCCCAGACCGTATTTTCCTATAGCATCCCGCCTTCCTCCTTTCCCGCCAGATCCTAAGCGCTGGATCCCCTCAATATCGCTCATTTGGAAGGTCCGGTTGTTATAGATGCAGAGGGCTGGGCCTTGAAGGGACTTCCACTCATCGCTGAAGACACGCTCTGTTGGATGCTGGCGGCGATCCCAAAGGAAATGGATGACGCTCGCCCCAGCATCGTCAGCATTCTGCAGCAGCTCCTTCAGCACATCCTGTGACGAGGGATACTCCCGAAGGATGTTAGACAAGCGGGTACACAGGTCTTCCTTAGCTCCAAACTGTGTGCCCCAAGGAGAAAGTTTTGGGATCCTCACTTGGTTCACGATACGGTGCTTTATGGTCAATATGCCGCAGCGCACAGCCATTTCTCGTGGAATCATACTATGGCAGAATGGTGTTCCACTCTCATGGGGAAGCCATGGAGTATCATCAAAAAGCAGCTTAGGCAATTGTCGTAGGACGTTGTCCTGATCTGGGAAAAACATTTTCTGGGACAAATAAGAATCCAGTTGTTGATTTTCTGGCAAAACTCCAGCAAGCCCTACAATGATCAACCTAAGTACAATTTCTAGTTGCTCTTCAGAAAGAGGCCGTCCAGCTGCATCCTCAGCCAGGGTTTCCAGGACAGAAGCAAAATCACCCAAGGTAAATGTGTCACGCAGACCGATACACTTCCACAGATCCTTTTGTTGCTGGTATTCCTCAGGCAATTTGAAGAGGTACGGAGCAGCGTCAAAAGCCAGATTGTGGGCCACTTTACACACTGGCACAAAGCCAGCACTGACCAGGATGAAGGGGAACGTCTGTGCCCTTTGCGCCACCTCTACCCTACTTTGATTATTCCGGACTACATCACTGAGAAAAGCATAACAATTTTGTACCATCTTAGCCAGCTTTTTCTTGGAGAGAGCATTGGAACACAAGGATGCTCTCTCCAGTTGCTTTAGCACTGTACTTACGGGTGGTTTGCATTTCACTCCAAGGAATTCCATTATCTCCTTAGAGAGCTTGGAGCTTTCCCCAAGAGCTTCCTTGTCCAGGATTGGTTCAACCAAATGTACCAAGGAATACAGCTTGTGGTGGTAAATCTCATTGGGACAGCAGATTTTATGCATGTTCTCAGGAAACACTGCCGGCAAAAAGGGAATATCTCTAAACAAAACCTGGGTAGTATTTCTGGAACTTTCCTGGAGATGGCCATCAAGGAGATGCAAGATACAGCAGACTCTCTGGTATGCTTCGTTGGGGTTTTGATGCGACAAAACTTCCACAGTTCGGGCTCGGCTTATCAGTTCTTCCATTGCCACCCAATCTTTGGTCATGCCAAGATGTTCCAAGCGCAAAAGCCTCTCCGGCTTCAGAAACTTTTCACCCATAGGAAAGCAGCCATCACTGGGACTGTAGAGTGGTGCAACACGCCCCCCTGGATGTACAAGTTCATTAATAGTTTTCAGTGTTTCATTTGGAGTAGTAGGAATGCAAGGCAGGGATTTCAGGCGCTCGTTCACCCTGGCATCATTCATATCTAGGGCACGAAGAATCAGGGCATTACGATCAGGCACTGCAAGCTTAGCAAGATTGGGTAAAACAAGCTCCTGAAGGAACCGTGCCCAATTATAAGTATTTAACATTGAGCTTTTTCTTGAGGTGAAGGTTTTGATGCTCAATTTAACTTTCTCTGGAAGAGAAACTGCAATCTGTGGTTTGGGTAAGAGTAATGAGAAGGCTCTGGTTGCTATAGAACTCAGTTGCGTTTCACAAATGATATCATCATCCAAAATGCAAGCATGATTAAGTGAGCACCATTTTTGTCCATCAGAGAAAAGAACTGGCTGCTCCCCATTTACTCCATCAATTAGTGCTCGATAGAAGGCTTTGGCTGCTTCAGTGAAAGGATACTTGATACTGTATACATTTGGCCAAAAATCATAATATTCATAATCCTCCAGCAGTTCTTGTTTGTACATGTCTCGGAGCTGAGTTAGTGCCCCAAGCCATGCAGCTGTCACCGAATCTCGTAGCAGTGCTATATTCCACTGGCCCTTTTCTGTGGTATCCCAGAGTCCTTTGCGATTGCTAAGCACGGCAAAGGGGGCTGTGAGATGCAGTGGGAGACCTGATTCAATGGGAAGAGGCAAGAAGCAAAAGACACGGCCTTTAAAACCATTTATATCTGGGAGCCATCGTCCAATGGTAGTACTAGGCCGGAGTGGCAAGGCTACCCTAGAAGAAGGAGGCAAGAAATGGATACCCTTTTTCCTTCCCTTTCTGAATAGTTCCTTGGCTTCTCCATCAGCTGAGCATGAATGGAGCAGAAAATGGTGGATATCCATAGCTGACTGCCATGTTGTTCTCAATCGTATAAGGGGAAAGCCCATCTCATCCAGTACTTCTCTGCTTACTGTCGCCAGTGGCTGGACAACTTCTGGAGAACTGGAACCATGTGCAAGGCAGGAGAGTGATACCTCCTGCACATTGTGCAGGAAAATCAGCAGGTACTGGGACATCTCCTGGAAGCCAGTTCTCAGTCCTTTGATCCGGCTGGGTCCAAATGGCTCAGGGCAGATCTGAGATTCTTTGGCCTCCTGTTCAGTGCGGAAAGGCAAACGGATCAGAGTGCCTTGGTATTTCTCCCCAATTCGACATCCAAAGATCCCTCTGAAGGGTCCAAATTGCTCTGGAAATGAAGTAGCAACTGTGGAGGTTAAATTCAAACGGATGCCCGGTCGGGCTGAACCACGGATATGTTTTTGGAGATGGGTGATATTGGGATCAAAGATGAGGACGGTGTGACCACTGAGAAGGAAAGGCACATCAGTCATGTGATAGACAGTGCAGAAACCTAGGCCAAAGCGACCGATCTTGTCCTCCTGGTGCTCCTTGGTGGCTGCACCTAGTTGGGTAATGTTGGAGAAATCTGCCTCAGTAAACAGTGCATCGTTCTGGGCCCAAAGGGCTGGGCCTTGACAGGCAGCCATGCCAGGATCCAGAAGTCCTTTAGTGGCGTCATGCTCCCGGAGGTCTATTAAGAAGCGGCAAGTCAGAGCACCAGCATCTTCTGCATTCTGCAGCAGTTCCTGAAACACGTCCGCATCCTGGCTGTACTCCCGAAGGATGTTACGGATCTGGAGAGTGATGGGCTCTGAAGGCCCCCAAGCCTCAAACAGTTCTAAGCCTGACAACTTGGTACTCAGCATCTCCACCCCAAAGAAAGCAGCTGTGGCAGAAGAAACAGCTTTGTGCACCAAAATGGGTCGGTCTTCACCCAAATCAGCAAGTCGGGCACGATCCATGTCACAATACAGTGCTGAATTGGCAGGGCGAAGAGCAAAACCAACCAAACCTGTGATTTGCACCGGTATAGGCATTCCCTCTCCCCCATGGTAACTTTGATTGCTAAGCCAGTCCAAGGCAGCGATGAAGAGGACTAATTCAGCCTGCGTACCCCCTTTTGGTCTGGCATTGATTTGTTGTGCCAACTTACGAAGAGCCTGGTCTACGTCTTCCTCGCTGGGTGATCGCTGGACACCCCATTTTACAAAAAGCTGCCTGTATTGTTGGAAAGCTGGAGGAACTCGTGGCATCAGGAGCGCAAAGTCCAAATCATTAGGAAAGGACAGTACCACATCTGCTGGCCACGAGAAGTCGTTCCCATTCCATACCGAACGGCATGCAGGCGGATGCTGGAAATCAAAGAGATGCTGTTGCATGTGTTGATAGATGCTACACAACTTTGCATCATTCAGGGGAGTCATTTTAGAGCGATAACCTTGTACCAGGTCAGCAAAATTTTCCATCACCTTTTCTGGAGGTGGTGAGCATTCCAGGCCCAATTTTTCTGCAGCATGGGACCAAAAAGCGTTTGTCAGTCCCATGACCTGTCCTACGAGAGCTGCATACTTCTCCGAGCGAATTGATTCAGGTGCTAGGAAGATTCCAGCTGGCCCACGTTTAGAGGAATTGATGGCAGGGACCCAAGGCAGGGACCTCAGCTGCTTCAGCATCTCAGGAGATAAGCGTGACAGTAGAGGACTCTCATTACAAATCCGGATAAGGGCCTGGGATTTGGCCTTGGCGGTTGCCGTTTCACTTACATTCACTTCCCTTGCAGCGGTTATTGCATCTGCTGGACAGACAGTACTAAGATCTGATTTCAGACCCAGCGTATGAAGGATTCGCAGCACTGCTTGCTCCTGAAAGGGCCCTTGGGGAAAGTGGCTGGGTCTTAATAAAGCCAGCAATGTGTGGTTCTCTGGGTCGTAGAGATGACAGGGACGGAGCAGTTCTGTTGATCCGCAATCCACAAATGGAAGATCACAGCACAATGCTTGTAGTTCTCGGCTCTGGCTAAAGAGTGTGTCTCCATTGTGCAGTAACCACAGCATGAGTTGCTTGGCATCCTCAGCTCGATTGGCATAGAACCCCTTCTTCATTGCTCGGACACACAGCAGGCAGAGATCCGGCGTCCCCAGAAGCTTTCCACGGATTTTGAAAAGCAAGTTTCGTTCAGCTTCGTTGCGACACAAGAGCACAGGCTCTGGGGTCAAGAGATGTGTAGGTACTGGTGGAACCAAAGTCTTTTCTAAAGCCAAATAATCCTGAGCTGATACCAAACCTGGCTTGGAAGGAGGAAGAAGAGAGGGCATCTTAAAGAACAGTGGCAAATTAGTGAGGACTCTGATATCTTTTTGAGAAAATGAGGAAGCCGTAGAGAGAAAAGCGCTCAAACTTTCAATCTGGCAGGATGGCAAAAATGTCAGGCGATTTTCTACATCTGCTAACCCCAGATGGACAAAAGCTTGCAGGACATTGCTAGGTGTGGGTTCTAGAACATATTCTTTCAGCTGGGGGTGGGACCAATTGGAGTCCCAGTTCTGGATCATGGTGCAGCCCAACTCTTCTAAAATTCCAGCCACTGCATCCGGCAAGCATTCCCCATTATGCCTCTGGAATATGAGGGTGGGGTGAGGCAAAAGCCGAGCCAATTGTATGTCACGGAGAGAACTGTACTGATGGGTCAGTGGTATTACTGGGCATCCCTTGAAGGGCTCCAGGGAAGAAGCATGGTGCGTCAGGAAAGTCCACAAAGCAGAAAGCCACTCAAGAGGAGGTTCGCTGGGGTGCGCACTGGGCCTCCAAATAACAGGCTTAGATTCGTTGCTCACCCAATCTCTCGGGAGAGATCCAGGAAGAATCTTCTCAATGATGGCTTGATTCAAGGAGACCAGATTTTTGAATAATCCTAGAGAGACAAGAAAGACACAAGGATCAAATACCAATGTTTGTGCATCTCTAGGTCTATAGAGATTCTCAGTCATCCAAGGTCACGATTGTCTCAAAGGTGCTTTTTCAAAAGGCAGCTGGACTTTGTTTTTTCCCTTGAGGAAGGAATTTTATCTCATACAAGACATTTCATCAGTTCTGACTGATTGGTGAGGAAGATGGAAGGATTAGTTCTGATTAGTTTCTTCTTCAGGATTATTCCTTCCTCCCTCTCCCCCACAATCCAATCAGAACTGATGGAGCTTCTTGAATAAGAAGCGAAATACCTTCCTCAAGGAGAATGTTAAAGTCCAGCTGCCTTTTGAAAAAGCACCTTTGGGACACCTCAGCTGGGACTAAATAGCTGCAAAAGGATTCTTGGTCTGTGCTAAAGGCTATATCACAGAGATCTGTGAATGGTCTGAGATCACACTATTGTGGGGTCCTTGGAGGTCTGTGTTTTCTCACAGACATTTAATTACCCAACTACGTGACATCTTCAGTGCCCGAAGGACGCCTTAGCACTAAGAACCCTGAGCTACAAATATTATCTTCTCTAGGTACCCCACTATTTTTCCAGCTAAATGCAGCTGGTGATTCTAACAAGCCCACAATTTCATTTACCCACACAAGCCTTTTTGCGTCATCAAGGCCCCGATCATAGAAGGCTTGGGCTATGTCATCAGACATATATGTGTCCAGAAGGGTCTCCGAAGGCAAACAAGCCATGATGGATACCCCAGACTAATATCGATCAAATCTGCCAACCCACATTGGACCAGCATGGCAGATTATGGTGTATTCCTTCCACAGGCCAATACAACCTCAAAAACGCCCCTCATTCCCGAGGCCCTAGGGCAACTACCCATGGCAGCAGAAAGACCTGCCCAAAGACAGAGGGTGCTAAGAGGATTCTAACAAGAGAATGTGGATGTGCTGTTGGAATGTGAGTAGCGCTATTACATGCACTCTATGCATGATCCAAAGTGGATCTGACAGTCTCGCATATTTAAAGGACCTCTGAAGGCAGTTTGTGGCCAGAGGTCAAAGAATCGTTCACTACAATTGCCAGAAAGAGTCTTTGACTTCCTTCAGGAAGAAGTTCCATTTGCTCTTTGTTTTCTATCGGAAGAAAATCCTGAATCCTGGGAAGACAAACCCTCCTTCTATCCTCTGCTTTACAGAACCACAAAAAACAGCAAGGGGAATGATTTCCTGCTTCTAAGTGCACCAGTAAGTCAGGTGTATCCTACACTGAGCAGCAATTGCAATGTGGAAAGGCTCACTGTCATTCCTCTAGGGCAGGCCTGTCAAACTGGCAGCTGCATGGGCTGGATGGGTCATGCAAAGGCCACGCCCACCCAGGTTCTGCAAAGGCAAAAAATGATGAACCAATAAAGTACTTTGTTATGGATGTTTTGTGGAGTTTATCTATCTGCATCTGTACAGGATACAGAATAGTAAAACGATGGTTTACCTCCTATCCTTTTTCTCCCATCTTTTAACGATAGAAGTAGAACAGTTACCACGAGTGCATGCCCTTCTGTCAGGACCTGACCTCACAAATAGTCTCCTTGGAGTGCTCATCCGCTTTAGAAAAGAAGCCATAGCAATTATGGCCAACATACAGCAGATGTTCTATTCCTTCCTCGTATGAGAACATCACCGTAATTATCTCCGTTTCCTGTGGTTTAGTGATGATCAACACAACCAAAGGATCTCGGAATACCGAATGAGGGTGCATGTGTTTGGCAACAGCTCCTCCCCTGCAATTGCGAACTACGGTCTCCAACGTACAGCTCATGAGGGAGAAGACAAATATGGAGCAGAAGCTCAATGCTTTGTAGAACACGACTTCTATGTAGACGGCTTGAAATCCATAGCCACCCCAGTGGAGGCCATAGACCTCTTAAAGAATACACAGCAAATGCTAGGGATGGCCAACCTCAATCTACATAAGATAGCGTCCAATAGTGAAGAAGTTCTAAAGGCCTTCAGTCCCAAGGACCATGCCAAGGGATTACAAGACCTTTTGCCAGCAACGCCCCTTCATCGAACGCAGTCTCGGCTTGTGTTGGGACTTGAAGAAAGACCTCTTCACCTTCAAAACCCCAGCCCTAAAGACCACCTTCACGAGGAGAGGAGTGCCGTAAACAGTTAACAGCCTGTTCGATCCTCTTGGGTTTGCAGCTCCTGTTGCCATTCAAGGTTGAATCCTACTGCGCACGCTCTCCCAAAACACCAAAGATTGGGATGAACCACTCCCACCACATCAGAAACAAGAATGGGAGTCATGGTGCAACTCTCTCTGCTGCCTCCAAAGATGTTCACCTACATCGCATGTATGTTCTCATCTCGCCCTCCACAGCATACAGAAAAGAACTACATGTTTTTTCAGATGCCTCAACAAAGGCAGTAGCAGCCGTGGCATCCTCAAAGTCTACGGCGGGGAGAGCAACATATATGTCGGATTCGTCATGGGAAAGGCGAAACTCACACCGCAAAAAGGTTATACTGTACCACGGCTGGAACTTTGCGGAGCTGCGCTTACAGCGGAACTATCAGAAATGAAAACGGAGATGATTGATCTTCCCTTAGAACCCACCACCTTCTATACAGACAGTAGAGTGGTACTGGGTTATACCTACAATGAGAGTAGACGCTTCTACGTCTATGTGAGCAAAAGAGTTGAGTGGATCAGATCTTCTAAACCAGCGCAGGGGCGGTAGGTTCCAACAGATCAGAACCCTGCAGATCATGCGACAAGGTCTATTCCTGCATCTGTTATCAACTTGTACCTGTCTCAAAGGCCCCAAGTTCTTGTGGCGTACAGACGCCTTGGAGCCAGCAAAACCCGATTTGTATGAACTCCTAGATCCAGATAATGATGGCAACATTTGACCCCTAGTCAAGAAGGTAGAACCGGTCGCCCCTCCAGTTGTCTGCCTAGCAACAACATTTCAATGCGAGAAGATAGGCCCCTTGAAATCTGCTTGCTTTGAACGCTTCTCCCGATGGAAACCTCTCATACTGGGAATAACTGTGCTCGTCTCCACAGTCGTCCGTCTCCTCAGTCATCAGAAAGTCTTCAAGTCATACTTTTCAGACCACTGTACTCATGCTGAGAGACGAATATTGAGAAGTGTGCAACAAGACGCATATCCATCGGAATACAGATGCCTGAGTGCAGGGAAACCCATACCACAATCCAGTCCACTTCTGAGACTGAACCCATACCTCGATGATTGGGAGGTACTGCGAGTAGGAGGTTGCCTACACAAAATTGAAATGGACTCAGCCAGCAGGCACCCCATCATCCTTCTGGCTAACCACCATGTAACGAGACTGTTAGTACAACACCACCATGAAATAATCCATCATCAAGGCCGCCACTTCACATAAGGTGCCCTCAGAGCGAATGGACTCTGGATCGTAGGTGCCAAAAGATGTATTACAACTGTTCTGCAGTCTTCCATTGTTGCAAGCAATGAGGCCAGACTCTACACCAGATGATGGCTGACCTACCACCCGAGTGCCTGAGCTCCGAACCACCATTCACCAATGTAGGCCTTGATGTATTCGGCCCTTGGTCTGTGTATACCTGATGGACCAGGGGCGGTCAAGCTAACAGCAAACGATGGGCAGTACTCTTCACATGCCTCAGTATTCAAGTGGTCCATATAGAAGTCATCGAATCTATGGATGCCTCTTGCTTCATCAACACCCTGAGAAGGTTCAAGCCCACAGAAGCCCAGTCAAGGTATTCAGATCTGACTGTGGAACGAACTTTGTAGGCACTTGTAAAGAACTACAAATTGAAGATGGCATTCACCCTGACTCGCCACCCGACGGCTACCTTAAAGCCAACAAATGCACATGGATATTTAATCCTCCCCACCCATCTCACATGGGAGGAGCGTGGGAACATATGATTGGGAATAGCTTGTCAGATCCTTGATTTGATGCTGACGAAAGCACCTAAACTGACACATGAGACTCTATCTACCCTTATGGCAGAAGTCGTGGCCACCATCGTTCCGGTCTCTTCGCATCCTGAGAATTCGACCATTCTCACTCCAGCTGCCTTGCTAACTGAAAAGATGGGTGCAACAGCTTGCCAACACCTTTTGGAACCTTTGGAAGCAAGAGTACCTGTCTACCCTACAAGACCACCGTAAATGGAAGACCAAAGAACCAAACCTCGAGGAGGGAGACCTTGTCTATTTTAGTTTATAGGTAATGTTTTTTTCTCTTCTTTTAATAGTGGAATTTACAATTTCAGGCGGGGAGTGTGCTGTCCAACCAGTGTATGGGAATTGGATAGTTAGGTAGCAATTGTGAGCTGTTCCCTTAAGGGAATGCATCATGGTAAATGTAGTTAAGGTATCCTGGGAAATGTAGTCCATGTCACATGACCACATTTGTAATCCTAACTGGTTACTAAATTGACCCTCGATGGGTTGGGGGAGTTTTCCTCACTCTTGGCTGAACTCATGGACTCGTGGTAACTGTTCTACTTCTATCGTTACAAGGTGGGAGAAAAAGGATGGGAGATAAACCATCTTTTTACCTACAAGACAGATATGCAAAGGATTGGTCATTAAAGAAGAACTTCATCACAAATGTGAGTTATGAGGATACCTGATGAACCAATAAAAGTACTCTGTTATGGATGTTTTGTGAAGTTTATCTATCTGCATCTGTACAGGATACAGAATAAATGTAGTATGTCACGTGATGCAATCAAATTTGACCCCTGTTTTAGGGGATGATGACTTTCAGTCTGTCTGATCTCAGAGGGCAGCTGGCTGCTGTGTCCAGATAGATAGGCTAAGACCCATTCATATTGTCCTTCAGGTATATTCCATTAACTCCATCCTCTGCAACCAATATCCCACTGAGATGGTAGGAGCTACTAGATAAGACTGCACCCAACCTGTCTAATGGGGTGTAATAATTACCTTGAGGAACATGAATGAGAGCCTCAAACCAAGAGAACGCTACTATTGTTTTAGTTGTGGCTCTTCTTTCTGTTCCTCAAGGTTATTCTCACAGCCTATTACACTCCCGTTTCTGACATATATGGGAAAGATAACAACTTACCTTTTTTGGCAATTGTTTGCAAATGGTTCAGCAACACAGGATTTAGATCTTTGGGAAGAAATTGATTGGCCAAACAAGGCAAAAGAATTCTGCAAAACCAAGAGAAAAGTTCCATAAATAAATTACAAACTACCAGGAAGGTCAAGAAAATGGGTCTTACTCTATATATTTTAAGGTTGTAAATATTACATAGGCCTATAAAACATTAAGGCCAGGGGTGGGATTCTACCAGTTCGCACCTATTTGCTAGAACTGGTTGTTAACATTCTAAGCAGTTCAGAGAACCGGTTGTTAGAAGAAATTACTGGCCTAATCCTGTAAGGAAGGCAGGAAGGAAACATTCTGGTGTTGCTTACAGAAACTGCCTCTCCGTTCACTCTTATTACATTCTTGGCAGGACTAGACTTCCTGTCTCAGGAACTCCTCTGGAGTTATTTTCCCCTCCTTTGCTGGTACTTTGCTTGTGTGGAGTGACCATTCAAAGTTACAATGGCACTGAAAAAAGTGATATGACCATTTTTCACATTTAAACTGTTGCACAGTTATGAGAGGCCAGGCAAGGAGATGCATGCCTCGAAGTGAGTGATATTGAGTTGGCCATGTCCAGCCAATAACATGACCATCAAGCCACACCCACCAACTAAATCACACCCACAGAAACGGTTGTTAAAAAATTTGAATCCCAACCCTGATTAAGGCAATCTGGTTTGTTTACTGAATTGGCAAGGTTAATCCTTCACTCCCTAGCTGGAACCACCCTGGGATGAAGTCTGTTCCCCTGGATATTATCTTCCATCTTTTTTCTAAAGAAACAAGTGCATTTTCCATTTTCTACATTCTTACTTTTTAGGTATGCTACCTGTTCTATCCGGGGCCCAGCAGTATACTTACAAATTAAAAAGTGACACAGATTTCCATTTAATTTTCTTTGCTTACAACACAAGATATTTTAGGAAAGTACGTCCACTAAAAGATTCAGAGTGTGACATTTCTAAATGCATCTGTTGACACTGAGCTTCAACTACTCTGGAACAAATCAGTAGAGCTCTTCTTCCTTTTATAGTTAAAGCTTTTTGAATTTCTATCTTGACAGGAGTTCAAGTCTGACTTGATTCAGATAATCAAATCAGGAAGTACAGTGTGCTGAAGGAGGAAGAAAGGGAAGACAAAATTAGACCATTGGGGGAGGGTGGGATGGAAGAAAGCTGCTCACCTGGGAAAGTCAGGATTCTCAACAAATACAATCTCTCCAGCCTCTCCAAAGCAGGTGAATTGCCCATTGGCTGTTGGAAGCAGGGGCAGACCCTTCAGTTCCAGGTAACATCCATCTTCAACCAAATATTCCAGTAGCAACCTTTTCTCAGACTCTGTGAGGCAATTCCAGATTTTGTCAGCATGTTGCAGAGCCCCTCTCACACACCTGGCTGTGGCCTCCTGCACTACTGTCCCGTCTTTTGCACCCAATGCCAAGGCTTGACGCACATGACGAGGGGCAGCTGCCAGAGGTGATCCTGCCAAAAGGAGGGCCTTCTCCAGCACCATACCTATAGGCCTATCCAAGACGGCCTTTGGCAAAAGGACGGCTTCAGAAGGATGGAGCAAGCAAGGGTCCCCCTCTCCAACCCTCACCAAGAGTCTCATGTTCCTTAACCTCTGGCATATTTCAGTTACTAAAGGCTTGTACCGGAGTTGTTGGCTATGACTTGGATCTGGCCATGACCCATAGGGGTCACCAGGACAGGAGGAGGCCAGCACAACCATTTGGCAATAAGCAACAGGCAGTATCTCCTCCATCAGGATGTGGTTCCAGCGGCCTTCAGCCCCCCGCGCCTGGGACCCCTCCTCAGACCACTGCACATGCCTCCTGTCATCGGTGAGTTGAAAGGGAGCACTGATATGCAGTGGCAATCCAGTGATGTTTTCCTCCGTGGCTGGGAGAGGCAAGACACAGCTAAGGCGCCCAGCGCATCTATCTTGCAAACAGTAGGCCAGGGATAATGCTGGTCTGGATTTCACCTTCTCAGCCAGGTCCCACAATCCTGGGAGGTCAACTTCTTTTGCTTCTGCTGACAATATGAGCCAATCGCAGCTGGCAGCTTTAGCAACCCCAGTACCTTGTAAAGCAAGTGTTTTGATGCAGCCATTGGTCTCCAATGTGGCGCCAAGACTATAATCAGCAAATATTTCCGAGATACTTCTACCGCTACCATGGTTCAGAGATGCTTTGGCTGGTTTTAGCATATCTTGAATAGCATTTGACTCACGATATGGGCGAGTTGAGATATCAGCCTTTAGCAGCTCACAGATGGTACCGTCAGACCCAACGAAGCCCAGGGTCAGTTTCTGGATGTTCCTGAGAAACAGCATGCTAATGGGGGCATCATTTAAGAGCGAGTGCAGAAGTTCCTGCACCCGTTGTGGACTGTAGATGTTGTCTGAGATCTTGGAAGGGCTCTGCCGAATAGGAAAGCGAAAGAGGGTGCCCGGGAAGTAGCCCTTGACTGCTGGGCAAGGTTTCCCAAGGGATTCTAGTGTTGCCCAGAATGGTTGGAACTGATCAGATGCTTCCTTCCATTCTTCTATACTCCACAGCTGACCTCCTTCCTCTAATGCTGTTTGCTGTGTGTCCAGCACTCCCAAAAACTCACCAGAGAGAATTGATGGAAAGTCTGAAGGATGAGAAGGAAAGAAATTTAACTTCACAAGAATGAGACAAACACTCCTACTTCTATTACTTTCCTTCTTTCTTATTTCACTCCTTATTAGTCAGTAGTAGTCACTGCCTTATCTTAGTCCTTAACCCGAATAATACTTGGACCACCAGAAAATATTAACGTTGTGGACCAGATAACCAGGCAATATACCCAAGGAACAGTCAAGCGATTGCGGTGGGATAAAATTGTGCAGAACAAAGTTGAAAATGGCAAAAGGGAATGGCAAAGATCAACCGTCATTGGATTGTTGCTAAGCAAAGAGAAAAAACAGCCAGCAGAGTTTAATTTCATTCTACAGCTGTGTCCTAAAATCGCCAAAGTTGAGGAACGCAGCTGTAGAATTTATAGCTAAATGTCTATGGAGATTCTCAGTCATCCAAGTCATGGTTGTCCCAAAGGTGTTTTTCCAAGAGGCAACTGGACTTCCTGCTTTTTCTTTGAAGATGTTTTGCTTCTCGTCCCAGAAGCTTCTTGGGTGAGAAGCCGTGTTCCTCAACCTTGGCGATTTTAAGATGTGTGGACTTCAACTCCCAGAATTCTGGGAATTGAAATCCACGCATCTTAAATTCGTCAAAGTTGAGCAACACTGTTCTAGTGTCTCTTCACTTTACTGGATGCCCACATATCACCTTAGGTTCTGACAGCCATTCCTTCGGGCTAAATCAAACCTGGCAAATCAAATTAAGGCTTAGTGCCCCATACAAACCTTATTGCGCTAAACCACAGGTATTTCATTCACACTAAGCTACAATTGGCTGGATTTGCACAAATCAATAACTGAAAATCCATAGTTGATAAATCAGGCAGCACAATGTGATTTGTCTGGTTTTAACTTACAGTTAGGGTTGAAGCTAAACATTAGAGGATCCCCTTTTGTGAAAAAAACCCAACTCCTCCCTTTTCTAAAATACCGGGAATGTGTCTTGCTGGATTTCATATGTACCAGGCAAGCAGAGAACTCCATTTTCTGAAAATACTTCAGAATTTTGGCAGCGGCGGTCAAAGGAAACACCATGCGCAAGGAATGTTTTCAGAAATGTCTGTCGGTTTTGATATTTGCTCTGTCCTAAATCAAGGCACGCACAGCTACTCACCAGTAACATGGTAGACAGAATTGAAGCCTAAGCCGAATCTACCAACAGTAGACGGATCGTCTTCCTTATGACTGATGCCAGGACTTTTGATCCCTTCCCAGTCATCCTCAGTGAAAATGCCATCATTGTAAGCCAGAAGTGCAGGTCCTAAGAGAGGGAAAACATGGATTTAAACATACTCCTTTCTTGACAGTAAGAGATTACAGGGTCATAAAAGGGAGTTTATTCCACCCCCAAAGGTCATTTTCCCAGCCCACTTTCTGGTCCCTCTCCCCCATGCACTCCTCTTCTTCATTTCCATCAACCTCTGAATGCTGCAAGTGTGCAGGGAATTCAAATAGGCCAGTCAATCTTCCCTCCAACCAATCACAGGAGAACATAAATTGTCATTCAGTCAAGGCTCCACCCTCCCGAACTACATCAGCTCCTGGAGTAAGAAACTTCCCTCTTACGAGCTGTGGTGGCGCAGTGGTTAGAGTGCAGTACTGCAGGCTAATTCTGCTGACTGCC